TTCAGCTAATCGTGCTTCTTCAGCTAATCGTACTTCTTCAGCTAATCGTACTTCTGCAGCCAATCGTGCTTCTTCAGCTAATCGTGCTTCTTCAGCTAATCGTGCTTCTTCAGCTAATCGTACTTTTTCAGCTAATCGTACTTCTGCAGTCAATCGAGCTTCTTCAGCTAATCGTTCTTCTTCAGCCAAACGTGCTTCTTCAGATAATCGTGCTTCTTCAGATAATCGCGCTTCTTCAGATAATCGAGCTTCTTCAGCTAATCGTGCTTCCTCGGGTTTAAGAGCATCTTCTTTTTTCTTAGTATATTCCTTAGGCTTTTTGTTAATACTCTCTCCTAGAGTTCTGCAAAATTCCATGTTCGAAATTATAACCCCTACACTGTAAAATGTGAAAAACATTTTTCTTACTTTTGTTCTCGTTCCTTTAACTCATCCGTAATAAGAGCTTTCTTTTTTTCTAACTGAATTTCGTCTAAAACCTCCTCACTGACAGTCATTAGGCGTTCATGTCGAAGACGTTGTTTTTCTTTGGTTTCTTCTCCAACGGGGTCATCTAATGATAGAGGTGTAGAAAATTTACGAGACGGACGATACGGGTCTAAGTCAGGATCTATAAAAAATATTTAAAGGTCCATATTGTGGAAATTGTTATATAAGTAAACCAAGATATATTGATTTGTACATAATTTTTGTCTTATTTGGATGACTATTCCGATACAATTATCACATATACTTAAATTTTTAATTATTGGAAACACTTACCGTTCAGGGATTGTTTCAACGCTCTTTGTTATTTTCGTGTTATATCATGTTCAATATTACATTTTATTTTATTTTGTGAGCACATAAGCAAATTAGTGAAAGAAGCAGTTTTGTAAAAGGTTAGCATAAATAAATATGTAGAATTTACATTCAAGTGTCCATTAAAAATCCCAATTAAGCTACTTAAAAATGTATAAGCATATGTATATATTTTTGAATTTGTGAAGTATTTATAAATATTTTCACGGTCTACGGTACGAGAACTCATTACCATTTCAAATGCTTATATAAATAACTAGCTATTACGTTTCAAAGTAGGTTCATCTAAAATTTTAAAATATGAAATAATATCATAAAGATAATACGGTAATTGGGAACATTGATTGTTAACATTAGTATTAAGAACTCCAATTTTACCGAATTTTTTTTATTTTTAACAATATTTTCACGGTATCTAAGAACAAACTTACGTGTTTTAATTGGCCAATTCAAATATATAGCTGTATCACACACTAACTACAAAAGTCACAACTCAAACATTTTTACAATAATTTTGTTTTCAGTATGTCAAATCGTATAAAAACCTTACGTATTTTAATTGGCCTATCCTAAGATATAGCTTTAACACACACTAACTTTAATAGTCACAACTCAAAAACTTCATAATAATTTTTTTTTAGTATGTCAAATCGTAGTACACTGGAAAATCACCGTTAGATCATCTTTTGTGTTAATTGCGACGTTTACCTGGCTTATGAAATGTGTCACTTTGGATGAAATAATTGCGATTATCACACTGTTATTTGATGTCTTAACTCAAAAATGTCGCTTAATTTCTCTTTTAAACTGGAAGATCAATTTCATGATTTTATTCACTACTTTTTAAGAGACTCATAATAAATTTAATAAAAGTTTAAATGTAATCGTCCGGAACTTTCTTATGTAACTCACTAAAATACATTAATACTAAATTCGAGCAATAAAGGGACACTGATTTCATCATTTATTTCGAACATTAAGTGAGCAATAAAAGCAAAAAATCATTTGTTTACAAAAACCGTTTATTTATAAAAACCATTTGTTTCCTCGCTTATTGATATATTTAAAAGGAATAAATACTCCAAATGTAAAATCTTCTGTTTTAAAAATAGACGTATTTTGACATTTTAATTTTTGGAATCAACGCGTGAACGTGAATAAAATATCTCGAAGGTATTTATTCGAGGCGTCAGTTAAAACGATTAGTGAACAAAATGAAAAGTGTTTAACAAAAAGCTACTTCTTTAATTTAAGCAATATTTAAGCCGTATACTATACCATTTAGAATTGCTATTAATGGTAAAGGTAAATGAATTAAATTGCCTTAGTTAACATTAAACTCTATCTTCTCTAGCAAATAATGAAAAAGCGATAAAAAATGTGGAAAATAAAGTTAATTCCGTTTTAGCTAGGATCGGAATGTTAAAAAAAGATTTTGAGCAATCATACAGTATTATTGGATACACCTTTAAAGAACATACATACGTCCAGCTAGTATTGATTTACAGCTTTTACCCATTAAGTTATTTCATGGTGGGGCTAAATATCGGAATCCGAAGTGGTAATAGCAATTTATAAATTTTTTTGTGAAGAAATAATTTATTTTGTGTCTTGTATATATTTTTAATGGTTTCTTGATTCCAAGTTCGCTAAGGTGAAACCAGAAAAGGAGTGTCTGTGGAAAATTAATTAATTTATCAAAAGTGTGAATGCGAAACGAATGGAAAGAGAACTGAAATTCTAATGGCATATAATTATGTGCATACATACAGACATACAAACACAAATGACAAAAAAGAAAAACTGTTCCCCCAATTCCAAGTGGAATCAAATAAACTTTGCTGCAGCAGCGTCAGCTTGCGAAAGTTTTTCACGACAAATTTTTTCTCAAAATCAACTGGGATGGCGATCAATAAAGTCAGATTGTTTAACTTTATCCTTTTTCGTAAGATCTGAGACTTTTATATTATATCTGAAGTTACTAATTTATGTTATCTATTTTCTCATCTTTTGCAGAACCCGTTAAAGAAAATTTTTCTTAGCAACAATGAACTTTATTTATTTTTATAAAGAGCATTACTAATTTATACAATAAAAATATGGAATTTTAATAGTACTCAATGATGTAAAATATTACTACTTTACGTAAAATAATATAACTCTTTTTATGGTTTTTCAAGAGACAAAAATATTTACGCTTTTTGTGTTCTTTCTGTAAAGAATTACTCTTTTTGTACTATTTCTGGATACAAAGAAGATTATTTCTTCTGCTATAGTTTCGGAAGTCAGTAAGAGACTTAAAAGAAAGATTTACTTGCTCTTTATTAGGAGTAGTAATCCCTCACAAGGACAAATAATGTTAAAAAGGAGTATTATTATCCTGAAGCGATCTAAAATTTATATTTGGATTATCCGATTTTTTACTGGGAAGCACTGTACGTCAAAACTCATATATCTAATATTACTATCAATATAGAAGTATATCATCACCTGAAATGCAAAATAACTTATCATCAAAAAATTGAAAATTGAGTTTTTTTACTTATTACGATTCACCACATCATATTACATATGTGTCACAAATTTTAAGCTTCTGCGATCAAAAATACCCAAGGTATATTAAAAATTCAAAAAGCGTATCATCAAGTGCTTGATTTCTTTAAACAAAATAATGTATCATCACTCATGTATGTAAATATAACAGATTGTTTGGTGAACAAATGAAATGCAAAATAACTTATCATCAAAAAATTCAAAATTGAGTTTTTTTACTGATTACGATTCACCATATCATATTACATATGAGTCACAAATTTTAAGCTTCTGCGATCAAAAATACCCAAGGTATATTAAAAATTCAAAAAGCGTATCATCAAGTGCTTGATTTCTTTAAACAAAATAATGTATCATCATTCATGTATGTAAATATAACAGAGTGTTTGGTTTTTTTTATATCGAAGTTAGCCATCATGTATTCTTTATGTTTATTTTTAATGATTAAGTTCAATGTCCTTGGTTATTTTAGGCTACATGGTTGACCGAACGTGGCCTACTATATACATATATGTAGTCCTTTGTGAGACCATAGAAAAGAAGAACTGCTGTTTTCGAACTTCTGAATTAACAAAACGCTTCTCGCCAGTTCGGTGGGACGTCTGTAGGTACAGGCCCCAAAACTAGGGAAAGGCTAGCAAAGAGATCTCATGGAAATAATATTGGGCCAAAAGCCTTTTGCGACAGCGGGTGTACCAATGGTGGCCCAGCGCTGACCAAGTTTCTGCGACGCCCAGCGTTAGATTAATAGAAGAGAATACGGGAGCATAGATCCCCTCCCATTATACCGATAGCGGTTCTATGGTGCCTCTTCTTGCTAGCTCATGTTTCCTGCGAGTCCGCTGTGGTCTGACACTCATATCATTCTTATCACAAAGACATTAGATGCTTTTGATAGCGAAGTTAGATCTTCGATCAGCTCTGAATTCTCTCATTGTTAATGAGTAGGCTATAATCGCAGCTCTGCTATCTGAGTCGATGGTCACTTCTCTGAAGGAGGCTGCACTCTGGAGTAGTAAATCCTCTGCTACCTCCATGGCTCTAATATCGGCCTGGAAGACACTGCAATAGTTAGGAAGCCTAAAACTGTAGTTGATAGAGAGCTCCTGACAGTAGACCCCTTCACCTTTGACCCATCTATGAAGAAGCTCCCTGTCTCTCTTCTCTAACGGCTTCTTCCCACCGACAACTCAGTCGGTATATGGGTAGAGAAGGAGCCGCCAGAGTTCGGTTTAGCGACTCCATGATCCAAGTGATCAGGCCCGTGCTTTTTTAGGAATTCAAAAGCCTATTCTTTTGCACATGCAAAATTTAACAATAACTAATGCTTTAATTTCAGCAGACTTTTATTAATTTTATGATAATATACCTTTTGAATAATTAATTATTTAATAAATAATAATTAAACATTATCCTCACTTTTTAGCTTGAAATATTTAAATTTTTTTCTAGTACTTATGTACATATTAGTAATAAAAATAACATAAAATATGAGAAACTTTCAAGTGTTTTTATTTAAAATTAAAAAAGTATTCATATTACAATTTTTAATTTTTGTACAAATTTAGATTGATCATTATTTTGTTCCAAAAATGAAAATTCAAAATAACGTTGGACACCTACCATAAAACTTGCTTCATTTTTTCTTTATTTTTTTTCTAAAATAAATTTATAGTTTCATGTTGATTCAGATTTGAAAAATTTGTTTCAATATTTCAAGTGGGTTCCTTTTTTTACGGTTTTATGCATCTCCAGTAAACCTACATAAAGTGCTGTTACGTTATTTTGCATTTCAGGGGACGATATATACTATATGTCTATAAGTAAACGCCAAATATTATTGGTTGTTTCTTTTAGATATTATTTGCATGTTATTTAAATTTAATTGCTCTTACATAGTACACATATTAGAGCTCGTCGATTTTTTCTATAAAAACCAGTGTGTCAGGTTTTCAGATATTCATCGTTTGCCGAGATCGGCATGTCTTTAATTAAAGACCAAAAGCCACGTAACCTTGCATAACTGTACTATAATACAAACTAAACAATGAAAAAAAAAAAGTGTGGTCTCGCCTACCAATAAGTTTTAATTAAGTTGTATGTACATATCTAGTTATCAACGTTAAACACAAACTAAGTTGCATTTCAAAATTTCAATTGCAGATCACGCGTGAGTCGTGTCCAGCGTGACACCCAGCATTCGACTGAATAGACTACGACCAGAATGAGAAAAATTGGACTCAACGGATAGACCAT